TGCTGTGTTTGCTCAGAGCGCTCATCATCAGTCTTTGCTTGTCTTGGTTCTTGCAGAAGAGTAATCCAGTCATCTGTATTAATAGTGTTCTACTGTTCTTCTCTTCTAGTTGTCCAGTTGCTTAGTTAGCAGCATTGAGCTCTGTTCTCTGTGTGCATGGTAGAGTTTTTCCTCATAGCCTAAAAAAGAAGATCATGCAAAAGTGTAAACAGAAAGAATACACATACATTAAGATCACAAGCAATATTGACATTGAAAACTTTCAAAATTAGCCAGCCTAATTAGTAATCAGAAATGATGTAAAGACTAATTTATTGAAAGTATAAATATGATACCTTATGAGTATCTTTTTTTGTTTCTGTAATTTAAAACATATACTTAATCCATTATATACATGTTAATAACACAACTAGAGGCTAAATTATGTGAACAAACTTTGCTGTTGTCTTGAGAAGCCTGAAGCTGAAGCAGGACTGGAGCTCAGGTCGCCGTGAGCACAGCTCCAGCACGTCACAGTGCTCGCTGCCCACGAGGCTAGTGCTCTCATATAACAGCAGTTATAGTGTCTATGGATCGGTACATTTCTTACAGATTTCTGCTTGTTTTAAATCAGATACAGATAAAGTAGCACTGCATTTGAATGCATTGGCGAAAGAACAATTTCTAGAGTGAATTAGTCATTCATGTAAGTGCAGTGTCTCTTTGCTATTAGTGAAGCTGTAAGTTTTAGTTACTTCAAAAGCAGAAATAAATATATGCTAAGCTAGTTATTTTAAAGCTAGTTATTTTAGTCAATAAAGTTTTAAATATGGATATTTTTCTTACACAAATGCATCGCTTCGCTTCAAAGGGCCTTTATAATCCCGCCAGAGTCGTGGGCAGCACTTTTATCATGGATGGATGCGCTTTTATAGACGGCCATTCACTGCCATTATAAAGCTCAGAAGAGCCAGGACATTTTTTTAATACAACTCCGATTGTATTCGTCTGAAAGAAGAATGTCATATACACCAAGGATGACTTGAGGGTGCGTAAATCATGGGCTAATTCTCATTTTTGGATGTCTTTTGGATGAGATCCTTTATGGTCTGTGTTAGGTGCTTTTAGCACTAAAGCTCTAGGAGTTAAGAGTTGAACATTTATGTCTCAGAAATCATAATAATAATATTTAGTTTAAATAGGTTAACAATATGTTGGCTTTCTTAAACCAACAAAATTATTTCCTAACATTTGAACAAGATTACTATAATCTGTAGCCTACTATAATATAAAGGTAATTCTATGAAGATTTACAACAAAAGTTACAAAACCACTTACCAGTTATAAGGCTCTTTAGCTCCCATATCCATTCACCTCTGCAGGTTTATGTTTGTTTCAATAGTTGCCAGATTGTGTCCTATACATGGACCATCAGCAGAGTAATTACCTGAAATATTTTAAAACATGGTCTGTCAACACACAACGCTATTACAAGCACATACAATATTAGCTAGAAACACAAATGACTGAAAATTGTTTTAGACTTAATGCTCTTTCCAATTTTTTCAATTACCTCTTTATGAATTACTGAAATAATTATTATTAACTTTTACTTTCAAAAGACATAAGATTAAGATTAACACTTTTAAGTAGCAAAAATACAGTATTCGTATGCATAGAACACAATACCGGTATTATAGTAGGCTACCTTTGTTGTAAATGGAGACTTTGTGTCATCGGTGTTATAATCATCTTGAAACAGGCAGTTTGGAGTCTGCATTAAAACAAATCTAGCTGTTATTCAAAAGTAACATACACTCAAATTTATTGCGACTGTCATACAATTCTAAGAAAGTAAGATCTAATACTGAAAGTCATTGATATATCAAGGATAAGAGAAAGCTATGTAAACTGAAAAAATACACAAAAAAACCTTACCGTTGTGAAAGAGTTCAGTTCCGTTGACCAGGAGTCCTGTTGTTTTGGGTCAATGTGTCAAATAGCCAATTTAGACAACGGACATTTTGCGCCGCTTTCTTCAACAAAAACGTTACTTTATTCGCGCTGTTTGTCGATTTCAAATGTTCTTACGTCATGGGAAAATCACGCTGTGATTGGTGGTTTTAAACGTCGATCTACAGTGGCCTCCAATCAGCTTCTCGTCTCTTGTAAACACATTTCGCGCAACAGTTCAAACAGTTCAGAGTAATCCTCAAACACTTCACGAATGCTGTTTTGATAAAGTTCCTCTTTTATTATGGAAAATCATGCCAATATTTTATAGGTTAAAATAATTCTACAATCTGTTACCTAAACAGCTTCCCTAAAATATCCTTACAATTTTATGAGCTTTTGTTAACACATTAGGCCTGTGAGATTTTGTCATCTCAGGCCAATAATGTCCTCAAAACATTTGATGAATGTTGCTTTGATAATATCCCTCCTTTGTTATTGTGCCAATGATTTATAAAAGATAACAACATCCCTAAAAAATCCTCAAAATGTTTCATGCAAAATGTTCTACTTTTGTTAAAAAGTCAATTAAAAGGAATGTTTTATTAAAAACATTTTATCATCTCAGGACTAAATAATATCCTCAAAACATTTTATGAACGTTGATTTGATAATGTTCCTCCTCTGTTATTATGGAACGTTGTGCCAATGTTTTATAAAATATCATTCTACAAACTTTTACCTCAACAACATCCTCAAAATGTTAAATTTAAAATGTTCTAGTTTTGTTAACACGTCACATTACAAGAACGTTTTATAAAAAACATTCCGTCATCTCAGGCCTCAATGATATCCTCAAAACATTTTGCGAATGTTGACTTGATAATGTTCCTCCTCTGTTACTATGGGACATTGTACCAATGTTTTATTGAGAACATTGTATTATCTGTTATCTCAACAACATTCCCAAAACATCCTCAAAATGTTACAGTTAAAATGTTCTAGTTTTGTTAACTCGTCAAAATTACAAGAACATTTTATAAAAAACACACTGTCATCTCAGGCCTCAATGATATCCTCAAAACATTTCGAGAACGTTGATTTGATAATGTTCCTCCTCTGTTATTATGGGACATTGTGCCAATGTTTTATTGAGAACATTGTATACTCTGTTATCTCAACAACATTCCCAAAACATCCTCAACATGTTACAGTTATAATGTTCTAGTTTTGTTAACACGTCACATTACAAGAACGTTTAATAAAAAACACTCCGTCATCTCAGGCCTCAATGATATCCTCAAAACATTTTGAGAACGTTGACTTGATAATGTTCCTCTTCTGTTATTATGGAACATTGTGCCAATGTTTTATAAAATATCATTCTACAAACTTTTACCTCAACAACATCCTCAAAATGTTAAATTTAAAATGTTCTAGTTTTGTTAACACGTCACATTACAAGAACGTTTTATAAAAAACATTCCGTCATCTCAGGCCTCAATGATATCCTCAAAACATTTTGGGAACGTTGACTTGATAATGTTCCTCCTCTGTTATTATGGGGACATTGTACCAATGTTTTATTGAGAACATTGTATAATCTGTTATCTCAACAACATTCCCAAAACATCCTCAAAATGTTACAGTTATAATGTTCTAGTTTTGTTAACACGTCACATTACAAGAACGTTTTATAAAAAACACACTGTCATCTCAGGCCTCAATGATATCCTCAAAACATTTTGCGAACGTTGACTTGATAATGTTCCTCCTCTGTTACTATGGAACATTGTGCTAATGTTTTATTGAGAACATTGTATTATCTGTTATCTCAAAAACATTCCCAAAACATCCTCAAAATGTTACAGTTAATATCGTTATATCTTAGTTTAGATTTAACCTTATAGGAACATTATTTGAAATGAGAAAACATCCTTAAAACATTCTTTAAACATTACATTCAAATGTTTTCTTTAAAACATTAACCAAACTTGTAGGGAATGTTAGCCAAAGTTCTGAGAACGTTCCCTGCTAGCTGGGCAAGCAGAGGAGGTAAATCAACCATAAGTGCACTCATTCCTCCAGCTTATCGCATCTCTATATGACAGCTTTCATTCAGACGTCACACCATGATCATTCACGGCTCATATCGAAATCTGTCCCCGTCTGATACCATCAAGATAAGCAGTGATATGGTGTAAGACATGGCAGAACCTGGTTTCTGGTTTCGACATCTTTGTTGATCCTGAAACAACAATCAACCGATCAGATTATGTCAGTTTAGGCTTACAACCAGGGTTAGGTGCTTCTACTGTTTCCCTCTGAGTTTAGGAATAACGTATGGGTAGGGTTAGGTTTAGGAGTAAGGATAGTCAATTAAATTTTCCTGGAATATGGAACAAAATATGTTGACCCAGGAATGAATCTAACTAGGCAATATCAGTCTCAGTGCTGTTGAACTGTCGAATTCTGCTGGCTCAATCAGATCTGATGTTTGAACTAATGTTGTTTAATAATAATATAATATGTATGATGTAATATCTGAGCAATATCACACGAGCAGGAATCCGTTACATAGTGAATAATTGATAATGCAGAAAAATAATGCAGAACTGAGGTGGTGATGCAAAGCAACTGGACCGACTGGAGTAAATGAATCCATTTATAGCCTTATACACTTCATTTTACATTTACATGCTGCGTTCACGTCATGCTGTAATTGCCGTAATTTCGGGATGACAACACGTGATGTTCGACTCACACCGTGTCCTAACTACACGCGACGCCGTGACACGCGATAAAAGGGATCTTTTCCATGTTAATCAGAGTTTTTGTCCTAACCAGACGCGACGGCGACACGCGAAGTTTCTAATTTAGAAACGGTTCTGCGACGTCGCGGCTGAGATCCGCCCACATTATTTATTTTTAGTTAAAAATAGGTCACTGTGCCACAAGCGATAATGGATAATTTACCTCAGATTTTGAAATCATATAATATAGCGTTCAAACTGAATTCTATGCAAACATACAACTGTACTTCATAACAAAATTAGTCAATGAGTATATTTTGTTAATGTTTTGATTTTTAATAATATTATTTCTTGATTTGATTATGTCCTTACCCATTTCCAATGCGAGTGCGGGCCAGCAGTGCGCTTTCACAGAGAGACTCCGCCCACACGCTGTTCTGAATGGCTGTGATTTTTGATTGACGTGTGGCGTCTCACAGTCGCGTCGCGTCTAGTCTGGACAGACACACAGGTTGTCGCTGGAATTTTATCGCGTCGCGTGTAGTTAGGACACGGTGTCACAGCTGTTCACGTCCTCAGACTCATAATTATGTGTTTTAATGGCAACACTATTAACTTATGAATGTGCAGCGGTCGGGTTGTAACTCCACATCAGACTATCGTGATTCCCTCACAAACTACATTTCCCATAACCCACTGCCCAGACTCATCATCCCTGATTGCATCCGCCTGTGTCTCATTACCTTGTTAGTCTCAGCCTATTTAAACCATGTACACTCATTCATTCCCTGCGAAGTCTTGTTATTTGTTATCTGTTATCTTGTTATCTGCAATTCTGAGCGTTTTCCATTGTTTTTCCCTTGTTCCTGGTTTTCCCGTTCCTGTCTCACCCTCTGGATTTGTTTGTTTGTATGGACTGCCTGCCTGTGTATGACCCTTGCCTGGATTCGGATCCCGTCTTTGGATTACTCTGTTTAATAAACTGCATTTGGATCCTTTACCTTCGCGTCTCAGAGCAGTTCGTAACACAGGTGAAGTTGGCGCTCTCAGAAAATTCCCAGTTCACAAGTTGTTATTACAAGCTCAATGAGGACGTGAACGCTTTTTACAAGTTGGAAAGTCAGCGTAATTACAACATGGCGTGAACGCACAACATTTCCAAATTTAGCAGATGAATTTTATCACAAGAGAGAAACAAAAGCAATTTGTTAAGGAATTGCTTTTATTCAACGTCACCTTCGCCAAGCTTCTGACAACTCTTTCAGTCTTTATTTAAAAAACAAGGTTGAGTGAGAATATTTGCAAGAGCGTGATTATAAACACAATAAGACTGTGAAATTGGACTAGTTAGTCCCTGTCCCAAATGGCCCTCACGATCTTCGTCTGAGGTCACACTTTTGTGACGTAATGCCGCTTTGACTGTCATTGGCTCACGAGAACCCTTCTGAAACCTAAAATGACTAAACGGACAGCTTACGGTCTTCTGGACTTTTGGACATGCAGTACACAAGACCTTAAGTGCACATGAAGTCTGCCTTAGACGAGTAGGCTGCCCCTCTTGGTGGATGATTATTAATATTCTCGCCAATCTCTGTAGTCTCTTGTTAGCAACTGCCTTTCTCAACACAATTAAAAGCTTTAAATAAATCACAAGGGAGTATTACTGATGTATTAGTCGAGTAAAATGTGAAAAAACCTATTGACTTCAGGCTGATGGAACTGGAAGCGCTAAATCCATAGACTGTAAAAAATGGCTAAAACTCATTTCTGGGGTTTGGCCTACAAAAATACATCATCTCTGTAGCACAACATTGCTGTGATGTCATGTGAGTGACAGGTTGCCCCGCCCTCGTCATCAGAGAAGAGAATAGATGCTGCATGTTGTTCTGATTCAAGATTAGGATTATTTAAATATTAAACACTGCAATATTCCATTTTTTTATATAATTGCTGACTTTAAAGAATAGTTGGCCTCAAAGAATATGACCCTGCGATGGTGATGTGATTTCTTACGTGTCTGTTGTCATGTGTTGCCAGGGTTACTGGAACGAACTGACTTCACACAAGGTCGAGGAGAGAGCGGAGGTGACGCTCTATGTTGCCATAATAACGGGCTCGTTGCTCTTCCTCATGGGATTTGTCTTTTTCGCTTACAAAAGATGTTTCAGGGTCAAAGAGAACACGACGAAAGTAATAACACTGGATGGCACCGCTGAGTTTCTGTCCACTTTGGAGGAAGGAGACCGCACTGAAGACGGGAATGACGGGGTTTTTCTGATGGTTTATCTAGCGGCGCCATACGAGAAAACCCTGACGAAGATCGCGCGCGCCGCCAGCACTTCCAGCTCACACAATGACCTGGAGATTGAGGAATTACACACAGAAAACTCCAGTGATCAAGAGTGATCATTCAACTCTCATATTTCACCTCCAATGTAAAGCATATCGATCCAAATAATGCAACCAAAAAAACATGGTACTATTGGAGTATCACTGTTTTCTTGGGAATCCCATGTAAATAGCATAAATATGGTAATATTTACATATAGTGCTATCTAATAGGCTACCACAGCAGTTTTTGTAATAAAGGAAGTAGTGCCAGCTTTGTTTTTGAATATTTATGATCTATGAAACTACAAAATATTTATTGATCGTAATCGTGAAACAGCAACAAAAGGATTTGCATTTTACTATAGGCTAATGCAGTGATTTTGAATTCTAGTAGTTTTGTATAATAAAGAATAGTGTGTAAAATATAGGCCATATAGTCTTTTTTGTGGGCAATGAATAAGTCACTAACACTATATCAATGTACCATAGTGCTATATGACTTTACCATGGTACCAACACGGAAGTAACCGTGCTTTGTTTTTGAATATTTATGATCTATGAAACTACAAAATATGTGGTAACGCTTTAGATTACAGCCCGGAAAGTACTGTGTAATTAAGAGGAATTTACAGAGTAACTATCTGTAATTTTAGTGTACCTATAAAGTACTTGCATGTAAGTATAAGGGAACAATATGTAAAGTTTGGGGAATAAAGGGGTAACAACCAGGAGAATTAAAAAAATATTTATACTGTAAGTATTATAGAACTAAGGGGAACTTATTCAACTGTTATGATACAACAATCTTACATTTGGGAGCAATTTAGCGAGAACATACACTGCGTACCTTTTTGTAATAATTGTGTACCAGTACATAGGCCTACTGTATAGGCTTTTTTTAAATTACAGGGTACATATCTATGCGTTTATACTTTTATTTATTTATTTTTTGATAGCAAAAGTGCAGATGTTTAAGTTGGGCTAACATGTTTCAAGGCAAGAAAAGCTAAGACTATTGCAATTTTTTTAAATACTGGGAAATATATCTTGTTTCATGTGGTTACAGGGTAAGTGGTGCTTGTATAATAAATAAAGGTTTCCGAGTCAGTGATATAAGATTGTGTGTATGCATTTTTATTGTTACCCTGTAACTACATGAAACAAGAGGGTAACAAGCACCACTTTAATTTACAGCCCGCCATGTCACACTTACCCTGTAACTACATGGAACAAGAGGGTAACAAGCTACATGAAACAAGAGTATCTTTCCACAATATTTAAGCAAAAGGTGCAATAGTTTTCGTTTTCAGTGCACTTTTGTTAAAAAGATTACATTTTAAAAATTACAGGGTACATATCTATGCATTTATAAAGCCTATACAGTATGTACTGGTTCACCATTATTTCAAAAAGGTACGCAGTATATGTTCTTGCTAAATTGATCACAAATGTAAAGATTGTTGTATCATAATAGTAGAATAAGTTCCCCTTAGTTCTATAATACTTACAGTATAAATATTTTTTTTAACTCTCCTGGTTGTTACCCCTTTATTCCCCAAACTTAAAATATTGTTCCCTTATACTTATATTGTAAGTATGTTATAGGTACACTATAATTACCGAAGGTTACGCTGTAAAATTGCTTTAATTACGCAGTACTTTCCGGGCTGTAATCTAAAGCGTTACCAAATATGTATTAATCGAAATGGAATACAAAAGGATTTGCTTTTGTTTCTCCAAAGTTTACATGCAGTGATTTTGAATTCTAGTGGTATTGTATATAATGAGTATATAGGCCCTAGTCTTTTTTGTGCGCAATGTGTTAAATGGTTTTAATACTTTTGCAACATTTTTAAAGATGGGAACTTCTTAGAACTATCTCAATATTTCTCTGTTTTTGTCAAATATTTTTATCTCATCATTATTTCATTGGTAAGAAATGTCCAATAATGGAGATGTTACCAACAGTGACACATAAAAACAATATTTCTTTTTTCTTATCTCTTAATATCAGCTCTTCCGCCACATTATGTGATTCTGCAAGCAAAGTGAAATAAAATTAAATTGCATTACCATGTAAATTGGTTTGAGAAACTGAATCATTGAACTGAGGATTTTGAGTATTCGTCTAGGACTTCTCTGAACAGGATTCTGTTTGTATCACATTGTTACATGGTTAAAAAGCACACGTCTTTATATGTCGAATTCCACCTTCTTTTAAGTAGTTGTTGTGATCATATAAGGTCAATGTGACCCGACTCCTGTTTTAATGAAATGCTGCATCACTTTGGCCTCACTATAACACACAACAGATGCTTTCTTTCTTTCTTTCTCTCACTGAAGCTCACGAGAATACACAGATAGATCGAGCTGCATTAGTAAACAAACTCAGCACTGAGGTACACACGGCATATTAGAAATGTCTAAACACAACATTTAGTACACCATATTCACAGCATACAAAAAGTAGCCATAATGCAAGTAGCCATTAGTTACTGTGCAAAGCTTAAACAGATGCAAGGAAGACGAGACTAATCATCATGTAAAGAGTATCAGTGGGGAACTTTCATCTTTAGTTCTTTATAAAAAAATAGCCGTTCTCTACAAAAAAAAGTTTGAGTGATGTTTGTACTTTAAAAGGGCTAAACGAACTGTCTTAGGCAGGAATATCACTGTACCACGAGCTGTAGGGTTAAAGTAGAGCAGCTGATGTTCCTCCGGCTTGAAGAGAAGTAAACTCAGGTCTCAGGCTGCTTGAAGAGAACACTGTGTTTAATGTATGAATACACACTCCGAAGAAAACACACCTACTTAGACAGAAACTGGCCCCTACAGATGATTTGGGTTATAGCTTACTTCAGTCACACTTGATTGAGATTTTTTTTATCACTAATTTAACTTTTCTATACGCCATTTTTGTTTGCATTTACTTTTAACCAGTTGGTATCAAGGGAAGGTATAATGTCAGATGCCCTCAAGTTTATTTGGTTGCCAAAAAGAGTATTTCTCTTCATCTTGAACACAATATCCATTTTTTTTTCATTTCTACCTAACAAACTTTTGTGAAATTCTTGCTTGAAAAATGTGATTGTTGTTATATATTTTTTCATAATGCAGTTTCCAATATTTTTTCTAATCTTATGTCACATCTGCAGCCCCTTTAGTAAGACTCAATTACCCCTTCATCAGCCTCAAACCAGAGTGTTTTTGAATGAATCATAACTAGACTAAATATAGACATCATAACACAGAAAGTAGAAAAGTATGTTGCATTGCTCTGGACTAGCCTATACATGTTACTCCTTAAACAGCGTAGGTTCTGTCGTAGGTTCAACAAAACAAAAACCAATATCTTTTCAAATGCCCTGTAGCTGGAACCTGCTTTAATAACACCTCCTGCAATGACGCGTGTGGTGCAGCGCCACCGTGTGTTTCAACGCGGAACTGCAGCTGCGAAAACACCTGCTGATTACAATATTAACCAAAATATAATCTGCAAAAACGATATGGCTATTATTCAGTGTTCTCCTTTTATTCTGTATTTTCACTTCAAATCAGAGCTCGGGGAAAATCGTTTCATTACCAAAAGTACTTCTTGTTGTTGCAAATTAACAAATAGATCTTTGACTTTGCTTCTATGCGTTTTAGAGACATTCTGCCTACAACATATTCTTAAAATAAAAATAAGAAGCATTTGTTTAAAACATTTTTATTACAAACATTTGACATATTTGATTATGCAATAAATAAAGTGGCATTCACATTAAAGGCATCAGACAAGGAACTTCTACTAATCTTCTGAATTTTTCCGTGTGGGATCCAATTTTGTGCCTTCATAAATGACTTTATTCTTCATGCCGCCCTGAATGATTCTCTGCTGAACACGCAGCTTGGCATTATTATATCTACAGTAGAACCTGTAAAATAAATAAAAACATGAGATAAACAGCTGAACCTCCTGATTATATAGCTTTTTACATTTTACAAGACAATTAATCATAATTTCCCCCATTCTAATGCACATTTTCATATTTATATTTCTGTAATGGACAAAAAAAAACCCCTTTTTTAATTTCACTTGATTGGTAATATGTTGATTAAAATATATGCGTCTTACTGTAAAGTATAAAACCTGTAATTGTACAGTATTAAGAACCTTTTTATAGTTTAAATGCCTGTTTTTGAGACACGCACCATGAGCCCAGAGTCGTAAGCATGAATCCTGCGACACCCACATCAAATGACCTCTTCACTCGACCTGTGAACGACAAGTTGAGCATTACATTAAAGACATAAAACAGAAAATGATCAACAATACTGAAGATCAGCAGAATCATGCTCTTACTTGTTGCCAAAAAGTGCAGCAGTCCTGTGACTAGTGAAGCCCCGGCTCCGTGTAGAAGAGATTCCCGAGCACACGGCGTATTCTGGATGTCAAGGATCCCCAGCACCTTCAGGCCCTGTGTGTGTTATAATGTTAAAATAATGCCAATTCATTTATTTGTAGAAAATGCCACCACTGATTACAAAAACACAGTGTGTATCTTTGCCACTCATTCACTACACTGATTTAAATCTCTTCTGGGTTCAGTGAATAAATATTAATGACAAACTCGAAACTTACACTAAACAGTTTGTTTATATGAGCATCTAGACCATTACAATAAAGTACAGTGAAAATACCATGTTATAGTATCAGATAGCAATACCATGGTACTTTTTTTTGTGTGCTAGAAAACAAGGTGAACACATAAACAATGTAGGCTCAAAGGCATACGGCTCAATGTCCTGCATCCATACACCTTCATAATCATGACACGACACATGTCATGAATATGAAGGAGGTTTTATGCATGTTTATGACAACTGTCATTAAGTGTCATTCGCTAAATTATGACATTTTTAATGCAAATATGACATTGTTTGAGACGTCTTTGTTATGACAACTTGACATAAACCAATACATCATAACCTGTCAGTGTCACCCATACCCTAACCATGCTTTTACTACAAATAAAATAAATAAAACATGGTTATTGTAATTGTAATAATAATAATAATAATAAACGGTTTTGCTACACTAACCATAGTTTAACCATGGTATTTGTAGTAAAACAAATTGTATTGGTTATACAAATGGTAATCAATCCGCCAAAAAAAAAAAAAACATAGTTACTAGACTTTTACAATGACCGTGTCTTATAAACACCAGCGTAATATCTGACTAAAATTATTGAATAAAATTACACCCACTTGGCTCTTACCGCCCTCCTCAGTCATTTTCGAGATGAATTTTCAACACAATCATTCAACCTACGTTATGAAATGTTGACCCGATACTTTTGCGGTGCGCCGAAAAATCCTTCCTGACGGAACACTTTAGCTGGCGATAGTTGGTTCCGGTGTTTAGAGGTGTTATAGCATTACACTAGTGTGGTAATTGGCAAAATGTAAAATAGGTTAATAGTGTAAAATAAAATAATATTCAATTTCCAGTGTTTACATATTGAAATAAATAGGCTACTAAATGCACAACAGAGACAAAGAACTATAGATTAGCTTTTTTCTGAAAGAAATCTAAGGCAGTAAAATAAGTTTCTGATAAGTTTTAGTTTTTGATCCTGTGTAGACTCAATGAGATGTTTCATCCCCTTTAAATGTTGTTGTCAAATGACAATCTCTGCCATGTGGTACAAAACAACACAGAACAAGATTTTAGACTACAAATTTATATTTTGGAGTCATGTAAGAAGGAGTTAAAGGACACCTCCGGCGCAAAAATGAACCTTTGGTCTAATTACACATTGTTACCTAGTCAACCGTTATCTGAGATTTGTTTTCATGATTATCGAATGTAAATAGTTTTATCTCTAAAAACAGTTTAGCCTATAAAGCTAGTATAACGCTAGTATATTGGGCATAGATCAATGACAAATAAAAATCGCTTGTTAATACCACTAACAAGGCTCAAAATAGCCCCACACTAACACGGTAGCATAATGAGGGTCCCTACCTTCAAACCGAAGCATTGAGAACTTTGTCAGTGTCCAGACAGTTTAATAAGAAGATATTTTAAACATACAGTCAACTTCGCGTATACAGACAGGAGCCATCTTTGAAATACAGTCTTTACCAGTCGATCTACGAATGCGATCCAAGTGCGCTGGTGAGATGTGAACGAGCTATAAGTTGTGATAAGGTGAGCGCGAACAGCAGGCTTGGATCGGCGTTCGTAGATCGACTGGTAAAGACTGTATTTCAAAGATGGCTCCTGTCTGTATACGCGAAGTTGACTGTATGTTTAAAATATCTTCTTATTAAACTGTCTGGACACTGACAAAGTTCTCAATGCTTCGGTTTGAAGGTAGGGACCCTCATTATGCTACCGTGTTAGTGTGGGACTATTTTGAGCCTTGTTAGTGGTATTAACAAGCGATTTTTATTTGTCATTGATCTATGCCCAATATACTAGCGTTCTACTAGCTTTATAGGCTAAACTGTTTTTAGAGATAAAACTATTTACATTCGATAATCATGAAAACAAATCTCAGATAACGGTTGACTAGGTAACAATGTGTAATTAGACCAAAGGTTCATTTTGGGCCGGAGTTCTCCTTTAAATTTTCCCTGATCGTTTGAAAGTTACTTTACAGTAGCAGCTGGGCTGACAACTATCACGTTCATGTTCACTTTTCTCACACAGTAAAAAATACAGCAGAGCAAAGGAACAAAGCCTTTAAAATTCTAGATTTTATTATGAAATTCAAACACTGATTGTGCGCTCTTTAATTTGTCATCGTGAGAGATCGCTGTAGCACGTGAACCATCATCTCTTCCTCTTTACTACTTATAGCACAAAATAAACTGAAATGTAGCCTATGTAATCGCACAATCAGTGTTTCAACCACAAAAAGATGTCAATAAAACAGCTTGTAAACAATGTCATGTAATGTTACATTTCCACATGCCATTCAATGACCACTTGATAGTTTGCTAGAACTATGAACTCTACAGAGAATCATTTTGCTAAAAAAATATGCACTATGTCATATACACATAAATTGTCATAAACATGTCATAAACATGACATAGCAGATTAATTATCAAACTTAAGAAACCACTTAGCTTTATGGGTTAACATTACATTAAACTGTCATGTGGTTGGTTTTGACATTGGCTGTCATAAAGCCATTATAACATTTTAATGACAAATTCAGTTACCACTGTAGTTGAGGTCAAGAAAAATATTCATGACACAGTTATAATGCCCCATGACAGCCAACGTCAAAACCAGCCACATGACAGTTTAATGTAATACTAACCCATAAAGCTAACTGGTTTCTTAAGTTTGATAATTAATCTGCTATGTCATGTTTATGACATATTTATGACAGGTTGTGATGTCTTAGTAATGTCAAGTTGTCATGACAAAGACACTGACAGGTTATGATGTATTGGTTTATATCAAGGTGTCATAACAAAGACATCTTAAACAATGTCATATTTGCATTAAAAATGTCATAACTGAGCGAATGACACTTAATGACAGTTGTCACAAACATGCATAAAACATCCTTCATATTCATAACATGTGTCATGTCATGATTATGAAGGTGAAGTAAAGTGTAAAAGTGTTACCAAAGATTAATAATATGCAAATATAAAAAAATTTAAATTTTAACTTTAATATTACAGTAATGTACCAGCTGTCAGGGTTCCCTGTTTACAGCATTCTTTGAGCGGGATTTTTTTTTCCTTCCTAGAGAGAAATGAACATGTAGCTACTGTACCTGATATATCCAAATGAATCGATTTCAGATCAAACTGAAATCATAATAAAAACAAAGATCTTTCCCCAAACATCCTTTCATCAAACATTTCATAATGCAACTTTTTTTTTTTTTTTTGGTGTGAAGAACAAAATCTAAAGAACCTTTTTCCAATATAGAACCCATTAGAATGAAAAAGGTTCCAAATATTCTTCATGGAACCAAAGATGCCAATAAAGAACTTTATTTTTAAAAAGTGGATATGTTGTCAAATAGAGTGTGTTTGAGTGTTTTCTGCCTTGCGAACACTAACTTACAGTGAAATCTGAGAGCAGGGCCTCAGACCTTGATCATCTCTGTCCTGACCCTGGACCTGTGTTTAACATAGAGGCCATGGAATCGAATTTAGCTCCACGGAAATGATGTTAGATGAGATACGAAACGGTCCGAACTGACACTGAATGCACAGCAGGTGTGTTTTATCTTCCTTCTGACCTGACAAACTGAAAGAGTTGTGGAAACACATAATCCACTTGAGATCAGTGTGATTAATTTAAGGTCAGATTTTAGTTTAATTGTCGGTCACTTGGTTTCAGTGTCCTATATAAATCTATCCAGATGCTCTGCACACACAGAGTCTCTTATGACAGCCCGCTGAGCAACACACACACACACACCTGTCAAGTAAGTCGAATACATTTTTAATATTGTGAATGTTTCAAAGGCGCTTCAATGAAATTGCTTTCCTTCCTTTCCTTCCACAGGATGTTAGTCGTTCGAAACAACATCCTCCTCCTCTTATTTGATTTAGTTGTTCTACTAGTCGTTGCTCGAAGCTCTTTTCTTCCACCATGTGAGCCGATTAATGAGACCGTCTCTGTGGAGAAAGAGGGCTGTCCGAAGTGCCTGGTGTTTCAGACCAGCATCTGCAGCGGACACTGCCTAACAAAGGTGCTAGTTCTGCTTTATGTGCATGGGAACCATGTTTAGAAACATTCATTTGCATTAATATTAATATACTGCTGTTAATTTTTTTTTGATCGGTAAGATTTTTTATGTTTTTAAAAGAAGTCTCTTCTGCTCACCAAGGCTGCATTTATTTGATTTAAAAAAACAAAAACAATAAAAAACAGTAATATTGTGAAATATTATGACAATTTAAAATAACTCTTTTCTGTGCGAATATACACTACCGTTCAAAAGTTTGGGGTCAGTGAGAATTTTATTTTTATTTTTTGGAGGAAAGAAATCAATACTTTTATTTATCAAGGACAGTAAAGACATTTATAATGTTACAAAAGATTCTATTTCAAACAAATGCTGTTCTTTTGAACTTCCTATTCATCAAAGAATCCTAAAAAAAAAAAAAAACTTTTTTGAAACAAAAAACAAAAAACTGTTTCAACATTGATAATAATAATAAATGTTTCTTGAGCATCAAATCCTCATATTATACTGATTTGTGAAGGATCATTTGACACTGAAGACACTGACACTGGTGATGCTGAAAATTCAGCTTTGATCACAGGAATAAATTACACTTTACTATATATTCACACAGAAAACAGCTGATTTACACTGGAATAATATTTAATACTATAACTGGTTTTTGTTGTATTTTTAATCAAATAAGCGCAGCCATGGTTAGCAGAAGAGAATTCTTTTAAAAGTATTTAAAATCGTACCGACCCCAAACTTTTGAACGGTAGTGTATTTTAAACTGTAATTAATTTATTCCTCTGATCATTTTCAGCATCATTACTCCAGTCTTCAGTGTCACATGATCATTCAGAAATCACTCTAATATGCGGATATGATGCTCAAAAAACATTCAATATTATTATCAATGTTGAAAAGAGTTGTGAACAATTTTTTTCAGGATTTTTTTGATGAATAGAAAGTAAAAAGAACAGCATTTATTTGAAATAGAATCTTTTGTAACATTATAAATGTCTTTACTGTAACTTTTCATCAATTGAATTAACCCTTAATGAATAAAAGTATTGATTTATTTTATTTCTTTTCCCCCAATAAAATAAAATAAAAATTCGTACTGACCTAGTGTTTAATGTTAATGTCTATTTCAGAGAAATTCTGTTCATTTGAACTTTCTATTCATCAAAGAATCCTGAAATAAAAATGTAAAAAAACTGTTTTCAACATTGACAATAATCATTAATGTTTCTTGAGCATCAAATCATCATTTTAGAGTGATGTCTGAAGGATCATGTGACACTGAAGACTGGAGTAATGATGCTGAAAATACCAACACAGTCTCATGAAAGTGCGTATCTATACCACGAATGTCATTTCTCGTGCCATTTATACGCCAAAAATGGTTTTTGCGTGCATATGCAACGCACTGAAAACCCCTTGGGTAGGTTTAGGGGGGAGGGGGGTGGGGAGTGCGTGCGTATTACACGCCATAAAGTGCGTATCATATGCACGCGAAAACTGCGTATCATATAGACGCAAAAAACATTTTTGGCGTATAAATGGCACGAGAAATGACATTCGTGGTATAGATACGCAGAAAATACAGCTTTGATCACAGGAATACATTACACTTATTCACATAGAACACAGCTGTTTTAAATTGTAATAATATTTCACAATATTACTGTTTTTGCATTTTTAATCAAATAAATGCAGCCTTGGTGAGCAGAAGAGACTTCTTTTAAAAACATACAAAATCTTACCGATCAAAAACTTTCAATATTTCCAGTGGTGAAGTATAAAACTGTGTATTATCTTGTTTCTAGGAGCCTGTATACAAGAGCCCGTTCTCCAATGTCTACCAACACGTGTGCACTTACCGGGACGTCCGCTACGAGACGGTGCGGCTGCCGGACTGCCCCCCCGGGGTGGACCCGCACATCACCTACCCGGTGGCCCTCAGCTGCGACTGCAGTCTCTGCACCATGGACACCTCCGACTGCACCATCGAGAGCCTGCAGCCCGACTTCTGCATGTCTCAGAGAGAGCACTTCCCTGCATACTAGCCTAAGTCCCGCTGACCGCAGTACAGCCCGAACTCGGACAAACTCACACTCCGAATCAGACAAATGCTGTGGAGATGTAGCCTATTAAAAAGTGCATACGTCATAGGCTACTTCAATATTATATGGACGCTTGTTTCCGCCACAAAATAAAACACAAAAAAGATTATCTCACACTTTTTTTTTTTCTCAGAATTGCGTGATATAAAGTCGCAATTGCGTGTTATAAAGGCAGAATTGTGAGATAGCTATAAACTCGAAATTGCGAGTTAAAGGCAGGGTAGGCAGTTTGTTTCTAAAACGCTTTTCCCCAAATTTGTTTAAACTGTCTTTATATACCAATTAGTGATGTAGTACTCGAGTCCGGTCTCGAGACCGATTTCTGCTTTCTCGGACTCGTCTCGGACTCGACCCTTCAAAGAACGATCATTTATAAATTGTACTCCAGCATATACAACAAAGTTCCTTTTAAGCTTTTTAGTCATTAATAGCTGTTAATGCCAACATTTAAATGTCACATCCATCCCCCGCACTTTTGAAAAGCTTGCTACGCCCCTGGTCCATATTAAGACGTTAAGACTGCTCCTCTAAACAATTCCCAATCTAGCTTAGTCTGTAGGCCTAACTGTTGATTATTAACTGGGGTGATATTAAATCATGAATATCAAAACTGATGTCGAGACAAAATCTCGACTCGGACTTGCTTCCTCAAAGACTCGGTCTTGACTCGGACTCGACTGTATTTGAAAAACAACGGACTCGGTCTCGACTCGGACTCGACCCTTCAAAGACTCGGTCTTGACTCGGACTCGGCATAGGCGGTCTCTTCCCCATCACTAATACCAATACATATCTAAAATGTAAGTACTCTGAAAAGGAGAGTATAAAAATCGAGTGCCTGTAGTCCTCTCAGGGCTGCAATAAACACAGCTACTCTTTCCATTCGGAACGAGTGCAATGATTGGCTGGGCGACTGCCACTCTCCCTCGCTACCATGGCTACCACCCCTGTCACTCTCCCTCGCTACCATGGCTACCACCCGTCACTCTCCCTCGCTACCATGGCAACCACCCCTGTCACTCTCCCTCGCTACCATGGCAACCACCCCTGTCACTCTCCCTCGCTACCATGGCTACCACCCGTCACTCTCCCTCACTACCATGGCTACCACCCGTCACTCTCCCTCGCTACCATGGCAACCACCCTGTCACTCTCCCTTGCTACCATGGCAACCACCCCTGTCACTCTCCCTCGCTACCATGGCTACCACCCGTCACTCTCCCTCACTACCATGGCTACCATCCCTGTCATCCCTGCATCACGCGTTCATGAGTTTTGGGGGCGTGGCTTTGGAAGGAGCCCAGCAGGGAGGGGGTGGGGTTTCTCTGTTGGAGACTTTCAAAATACAGCAGTTTTCTGCTAGTTTCTCAAACTCACCTACCCTGCCTTTAACTTGTGAGAATTTTTATTTATTTAATATACTTAATATACTGACTTTTTCCCCTCAGAATTGCATCGCAATACTGACTTTATAACACGCAATTGGGAGTAATAAAGTCAGAATTGCCAACACGATCTCAAAAAGTCGCAATTGCGTGTTATAAAGTCAGAATTGTGAGATAAACTCGCAATTGCGGGACATAAATTCACAATTCTGACTTTATAACAAGCAATTCTGAGAAATAAAGTCAGAATTGCGAGATGTAAACTTGCAATTGTGAGATATAAAGTCGCAATTATCTTTTAAAATGTTTTTTTCTGTGGCGGAAACTTCCATAATATTCTATGCTAAAGTCAAACCAAATTTGTATAGTCTAAAGGAGCAGTTGGCATGGATATTGAAACTAAAAAGGTTGCATGTTATCATTGGAAAAACATCAGCCAATGACCAGAGAGAAGAACAAAAGATGGGTTTAAATGATACACACATGTACAATAGGAAGAAAATCCTGCAAATGAACTATTGACTGAAGCTTGTTAATGAAAATCTTGTGTATTTGACTACAGTATGTCTCCACCATGATAAATTACAATAAAACTGCACCCGTTTTGCACTTGAAATATAAAGAGAAACAAAATTAATTAAATTAAACCATTCATAAGAAAGGCCTAGCATTCTGCTGGCAAAAGGCATTGCTCTCCATTGAAGGCCATTCAGAAGTGAACATATATTCTCACTTAATAAAATATTTTGCAAGCACATACTGTATAACACAGATGTTTTCCCAGTATTTAATTTATTTTTGAAAGCGCATGAAATGAACTTATCTTTTTCATAATCCGTGAGACACTTTAAATAAAAGTGTCAGCTAATTGAACGCATGTAATTAATCAAATATTAGATCTTGTACTGATTTCCCCCAAGCACACCAGATTACCATGAAAACAGCAAAATGAGCTGTAGGAGAATCTGTAGCTCAGAGTAAACGAGACGCGATGCAACAGTGAAGACTGAGGACTGCGGCAATAATGATTCACAGCCAGAAGATGGCAGGAAAGATCAATATTGGGAAAATTGTGAAATGAAAAGTAAACGTGCCCTCTCACACTAATGTATGCAGTCATTTAAGAGATAAGTGTTTGCCTTGTGGAAATACTGTTATGCTATTCAATAAAATCTTGATACAGTAATTATGTTGTGATGGCATGAGGAATGACACACAATGCTCTGTTTCAAAACTAAGGAATGTTATAAGTGACTGATTTGGGACTCTAGCATACAAGAGAATAGCATTTGGTGTTATAATACCAAGCTAACGTGATATTATAAACAAAAAATAAGTACAATAAAAACAGGTTCATTTTGAATTAGACTGAGCAATTGTTTTTGATCATTTTCAGTACTGAATGAATTCTATATGCAATATTTCTCATTGCAATGCATTGTGGAACTCTCTGAAGTAGGCTAATGATAATATTTTCTATAAAGGAATCATTTCACGTCGCTTTTTGTCAGACTTTCTTAAAGTCCCCCAATTATGCTTTTTCAGACATTACATTTCACGTAGTGTGTAATAGAGCTGTTTGTGAATGTAAAAGGTCTGCAAAGATCAGAGTGCAGATAAGTAAGGGTTAGTGCCCGACGAGATGTCCATTGTCAGGTTTTAATGGACGACGGCGAGGTGTGAACCGTCCGACGCGCAGCGGAGGGCATTAACCCGCTTATACCATGGTCACTTGCCAAATAAAACATTTTTAAAACATTAGTTATTTTAATTAGGCTAAATCTAGTTCTTACAAATAATAACTTGCCTGACGGTTTATTTAGCAACCGGAGATATTTATAGTCCGCTCAGCTTGTAGAACCCTTCTGGTTCAAAAATGCATTTTTTCCCCATGAAACACAAAGGTAGGCATAGTTATTTTTTTATCACACATAAAACAATTAGCTGCAAATCAAACAACAATAAAAAAAACAACAAAAAAACAATTAACGTTAGTTCTGCGCTCCAGCGATTTGCGCTTATAGAGGGCAATAAATTAATCAGATCAATCTCCGTTTTATTTACATTTTTTCTTTCTTCAGCAGCATCCCAGTCGTCAAAGTTGTCATATTCTCCATAAATGTTAAAAGAAATAACGAAGTCGCTCATTGTTGTATTAGTAGGCTATGTAATATCTAACTAACGTTAGATGTTTGTTTTGATAGAGCAAATTGTTAACGGATACTTTGACTGCCTGTTGCTATGGTTACTCACAGCTGTTGTAGCCAGCGCATTTATTTATTAATTTCGAACGGTAAACAGTCAGTTTCACCAGAACTACTTTACTAGGTGTCCTCTATCCCTTTTTAACGGACACCCTGCAGCCAATCAGAATCGAGTATTCACCCAGACCGTGGTATAAAAGGAGTTATTGTCTCCCAAAAGAAAAAGTGATTCTGAACTGACTGAAGCCAGTAGTCAGTAATTCAGTAAGTCTCACTTCCTGTTTCATACTGTGTAATGTAACAAATTTGCATAATGCCAGTCTATGGTCTTTAATCAAATCCAGCTTGATGCACTTTCAAAGGATGAGATATGGTAAATCCAACCTGATCTCACGACAATTGGTGTCATATACACAACTGCCATTCTACTGGGCAGTTGTGCCCAGTAGAATGGCAGTAGAAAGTGTGACTCCCAGTAGAAAGTGTGACCCAGTAGAAAGTGTGACCCAGTAGAAAGTGTGACTCCCAGTAGAAAGTGTGACTCACACACTTTATTTCCGGTTCAGCACCACAGGTCAAGTATACATGACAACGGTATTGTTTAGATTAACACGTGACATCTCCCCTTTTAACACAAACCTTCAACTTATAAAGTTTTCAGCATATCCCACCGCAAGTCTTATTTGTCGTCATTACTAAACTGGATATGCTTAACCGCAATTGCTCTCTAGCTGTACTTACAGTGGTAACGTATAGTGCATACTGCATATTATTCATCAACCTGTTTAATAAACATAATGAACCAGAATATCTCTTAGCAAAATCCTAATTGCGTGAAGACAATGTCTTTTAAATCAACAGGTGGGTATAACTGTAGCTTAACTGGCCTAAATTCACTAACTTAAATATTAATTGCAGAGCTAAAACTTGAACATATAGCTACCAACGCATGTACAATATTTAAGCTTTACTTGTACATAACATAGTCATCAAATCTCTTTGGCAAACATCTTGCTCTGACTGGGCGCTCACAGACTGACACTGGCAGCTGTGAGGATACCTTGGGGAACCCACTATTTGTAGGGGACACTTGTGTCTCCATCTGCTCTGTAGGTGTACAGTTTGGGTCTGCAATGTCCGGTATCACTTGAAGCGCTGATTTGTCAGGATCAGCAGACAGGTGAATTCTGTTGCGTCGGTAGGTGGTTCCATTTTCTGTCATGACCGTGTATGATCGAGGGGTGGTATGAGGTTGTACCTCAACTGCACGGTTCCACACCCGGCCTTGTCTGATGCGGCAGCTTTCACCAGGTTGCAGTGAAGGCAGTTCTCTCTTTCCCCGGTTATAGTAGTGTGCCATCTTTCGTTGTCTCG